GATACTACTACAATGTACGCCGAACATGACGTTGTTTCGCGATTGTTCGATATTTACAATCAGTAGCGTTGCCAAGGAGAGAGGGAGTCTGAGGACCCTAGTGTGTCATTATTATCCGTATGTACTACACTGCTATTTGATTTTTTAAAACTTTGGTAGGTACAAACTTAACGTTGACAAATAACGGGTCTTTGGCACATAAGTGTATTGCTTTTATCATGGTTATAACCATCGTTTTGGTGGTTATCATGAACGTTGTGAAGACTACCGTCCAACACTATAGTTTTATAATCAATAATGTTCGTTGTAAATAAATTTGCAATTCGACTAACGAAAAACAAATGATTTAATCAAAATTTAAATTTAATTCCAATCAACGCAGTTTTAAAAGCATAAATCTGAGCGAAACAGTTAGCTGTGTTAATTGTTTTATAGCAAAAACTATAATTACTATTTGTTACATATAAAATGAAACCTGTCTAAAAATGTCGAATTCGAATAAACCGGAAGTATGACTGAAATCAAGATCAATCCCATTGTTGATCCGGGCGTGTAGACATTGAACTCGATAGGTTACGCGGTATATTTCTAGTAGTATTCCAGTGCCGTGTAAAAAATATCGGAAAACCGGAACGCAGAATATATAAATAAGAAATAAAAATAATTGACTAACCAGTGATTAGAAATTCCTAATAACGTGTCCGTTAAGCTCGGTGTCCCGCGTTCTCCTCGGTAAAATTATCGGTGAACAAAACTGTGGTTCACGCGGAAGAAATACGTTTGTAGGATATCAAGATCGGGGAACGGTGCGCGTGTAGCGAAGTCAAAAACAGCTAATGCTGACGGAAAACTATGAATGACGTCACTGACGGTTATTAATGAAAATTTGTTTGGGTTCTTAATGTAACCACTCTAATGGCCGTGCCGTTTGGTTGGGACCGTACGTCCGCTCATTCGCATCTGCGCGTTCCCACTGTTGGACGCTTTGGTAAGTGCTTATCACCTTCAATATTACTTTCACGTTCGCACGTCTCACTCCGCGCCTTACTTCATTTTATCAGTTCCTTCTTTATTCCGGGTACATAAACTCTTAGCACTCTTCGTGCTTCATCGTGTTTCGCCGAGGAACATTTTATTTCTAACGGCCGTCCAAACTCCGATAACCGTTGATTCATTTCTGTCCCCGTCGTATGCGATTCTTTCGATTTCGGTAAAAATTCTTTTCTTTCGATATTCATAAATTTGTGTCTACTTTTAACGAGTGCGCTCAACGAACATTAAAATCACATCCACCAAACATCCTATAGTTACATTCCATGGTTTATAGTTATTTAGTTGTTAGTTTCTCGTAACTTTTTTGATTTTTTTTTTTTTTTTTTAGAGAAAATATTTAATTTAATTTCAGTTTTACTATAGTAAACTTTAAATAGTCAATGAAGCTTAAATATTTATGTAATAAGAATTTCTGTATTTTTTATAATAACTATTTGGTTGACGAACAGTTCATGTTATCATTTAAAATTTTCTAAATAGGAAAACCTATTGAAAAGCTTACAACGTATAATTATAGACAAGTGCAATTGATTTCGACCATTTGACACGAAACGTAGTATGACCTCATAATTTTTTAATTTAACACTTACACACGTTACCAAACATTTGAATTTACAAAGTATCAATTTTTTAAATGAATAAACTGCGAAGGATTTTACGTTGATTTTGGCAGCTTTAAAATCAAATGCTAAAATGATTGTGTTTCATTATTTTAACTGGTCGATTTTTCTCAGCGTACTGCAATTCGTTCGCGAATTTTTTTTCTCATATAATTGCTTATTTAACAAGATGAAATATTAATTGGTAGAAATGTCAACACAATAATTAATATTATGTCTACACTGATTTATAATTTAAATTCACTATCCATGAGTAAAATGCATTTTTAATCAATCAATTAATTTGTCACATGTAAATCAAACAAATAAGCTTATAATTTGAATGAACATAGATTAAAACACGTATTACTTGATTTTTGACTAAAACAGTAGAAAGTTAATAATGTTGAACTGAATATCGAAACACAAATAAAACGAACCAAACAAAGGTTATATCAAAAGGATGTGACTAGCTAATAATTTAAGCTTTAAAATACATTCAAACTACACACAGACACATTCAGTGTTAATTCATCAATAGGGTTTTTCAATATGACTGGGTTGATGTTGAAATGAAGTAACAATGTGTATCGCAGTGTTAACTGTGTGCCACCAAGTCTATTTCAGCTGTTGTACTGGAACCACATGTGGTCTACGGTCATATCTTTTAATTTGGACCAAAATAAATTGGTAATAATCGTAAAATAGGCTTCATTTTTTTTTTTTTTTTTTTTTAATAGTAGAGAATTATTTATGATGTAATGTTATTTTTCCACTAATAAAAATGGTTTGAAGTTTATTTATATGTAAACATTCAAAAGTGCTAACACTTTTTATTTAGCTAAATAAAATATTTAAAAAAAAATACTATCGAAAAATTAAAAATTCTATATCATAGATAATATTTCCTTATTTTGAAAAAAAAGAAAAAATGCTCTACTATGAATTTACACTGAATTTTTTTTGTCTAGTGTAATATGGTTTTTCTACCAAAAAATTGTTAATAAACGATTATTTTAATTATAGATTCATGAATCCAATACCTCGTCCCACTGATTATCCAAAAATCAACGTCTGAATAATTCATAGACTTCAATTATAATAGGTATCGTATATCATAATAAAAAAATGATAATAATTATTAGTTTCATTATTATTACTGCGGAAAACAAACAAGTGGTTCATTGATTGTTACTTCACTATAATTATAAATATAACTGATAGCCTGAAATGAAACAAAACCATTACGTATTGTTCCCAATTATCGCAAATCGAAATTTTTTTAAGTACAAATGATTTCGACAAAATATAATTATTATTCGTCTCTATGAAGTTACTAATCTTCTTGTTCAAAAAAATACTTTTCTGGCGAACGGTGGTTAAGGGAATATTTTAATTCCACCAAACGCCTATCATAAATTTCATTAATAATACCTCATATACAACTTGCATGCCATTAAATATTATTGAGCATTATCCCTAATAGTTTAGTTGTAATAATTAAATATACTCGTATATACGTATGTTTTTGTTTTTTTTATATGATTATTACAATTTTTTTAAACATGCTGTTCAGTATATTTTTACTTAGGCGGTTTAAATAAAATGTGATTTTTTATTATGGAATCATCGTATTTGAAATATTAGTGCGTATTAAACGTAATCTGTTTATAAAATAATTACGGTTGAAGATGCGTTATCCATCGTGTGTTTATGAGAAGATTGTCACAATAAAGAAAACTTAACTAGGGCCCCTGGAATAGATATGTCGCATCCATTTCGCGTTCTGACCTGCTTCATGAAATAAATAGAAATTTCATTCAGATCAAGAAACGGAACTTCTTTTATTACACATCGCGTAATTACACAATATTGATAACTTTTCACGAAATGGACATGGATTTTTAGTAGTACAGAACTTGTTCTGTAATTTGTATATACAAATAACGAAACAAATAATACGTGTATGATTTTTATTAATAGAAACAACTTTTCTTTATAAACTGCTATAATAATTATAATAATTATGGCATTTTAGGAAACTTTAGGTAAATTTATGTTGTAAATTATCATTAAAAAAAAAAAAAATTTAAAATAATAATAATAATTATGACTTAAACTATAATAAATGTTTAACTATATATGTATTGTAAATTATTAATAAAAAAAATTGTAATATTATACTATTATAAAGTATATTATAGTATATAATAGTATATAATAGTATATTATTATACTATTATAAAGTAGTATTATAAAGTTTGTTTGAACAAGGGGTAGTATTATGGCGACGGCTATTACATTTAAGATTTGATTTAAAGTAGGCGTATTTTTTTGTTTAAAAATTTGCCCCTACAATTACAACTATGAAAACCTTGCTCTCCTGTTGTTAAAACCACTATTTCCCTTAGATGTAACTCTTTTGTTTTATTGACTTCTGATATGTTAATAAAATTAAATGTAGCTGGTTGAAAAGTTGAAGAATTAAACCATCCCTTAATTAATCCGTGTTTGGTTCAAGACGATTTAGCTCATTATTTTTTTTCTGTGACTATGGCAATTATATTCGCCGAGACTGATGGATATCTATCCACCTTAGGAACTGAAACTACAACACAATCTTCGACTTTAAATTGAGTAATCTTAAGGTTATTTATCTGGAAATAATGGAACTCATATTATTGTGTAATAATTTTAAGTAAAATATTTAATATGTTTTTACCTTTAACATTTTTTTTCCGTTGCCTTTTGTAAGACTTTTAATCCTTGTTATCTCGATTCAATGATGTTTTCATTATTTTTGCATAAGTTACAAATAATAGCACTAGCAAAGTTTATTTCTACCGTTATTTCATTGTCACAAAGACTACAACGTGAAGCGATCAGTTTAATCGTGAAATGTGAATCGTCTCAGTCTTTGCTATATATCAGTAAATCCTCTTCAGTTGATATTTTTTTGCAAAATTTCTGATGGTAATTTTGAAGTTGTTAAACCTATTTTCGGACACTTACAAATAAAGCTTTATATGGAGATTTACCAATTACGCGATGATGGGAACAGTTTTTTTTTTTTTAATTGGACAAATTCTAAACTAATGGACCATTTTTTTGAATTGTTATCGACTTACTACTATGTTCTCAGACTTACTACTATACTACTTCCCTTAGGGGAGCACTAACAGTGCGACGGGTATAGCGAACCCGGGGCCCCGAGCTATGAACTGAACTGACTTTAATTAGTTAGTTCAGTTCACCCTACTCTGGCCTTATTTGGCTAGAGTAGACTGGTCTTCCAGGTTGGGGGTTAAGCGTGGGGCTAACAACCCCACCTTGTAAAAAGTATGTGTTATGATACCATCAAAAAATCAGCCTTGGTCATGGAGAATTAGATATAAATTAGGACATGGAAAACGGACTGTGGAGCTAAAGATTACGATGTGGAATATAACAAGCCATTTTCGAACTGGCTCTTGTCAGAATCTTGTAGATGTAATAAGTACATACGGAATAAAAGTAGTAGCACTGCAAGAAATTCGATGGATGGGTGCAGGTCAGCTGAAAGTAGGGGAATATGTAATTTTCTACTCGGGATTGGAGAGTAGTCATTTCTTTGGAAGTGGTTTTGCGGTTCATGAGTCACTGGAGCCATACGTCAGAGAATTCAATCCTGTTTCAGAAAGGATAGCAGTTCTGAGAATTAATACAACCCCACTAAACATGGTGTTAATATGCGTGCATGCACTGACTGAAGTAAGCACAGACAATGACAAGAATGCTTTTTATGAAAACCTTGACAGAGTATACGACAAAATACCAGGCAATCTGATAAAGGTAATATTAGGTGACCTGAATGCCATGTGTGGGAAGGAAATCCAATTTCAACCAACAATAGGAAAAGAAAGTTTGCATTATAATAGTAACGACAACGGGTTAAGAATTATATCCTTTGCATCTTCAAAGAATATGATAATAAGTAGCACAACTTACCCTCACAAGAAGATTCACAAGGGGAAATGGAGATCTCCGGATGGTAAAACTATTAATCAAATAAATCAAATACTTATTCAGAGAAGGTTTAGATCATGTGTTGAGGATGTAAGGAGCTACAGGGGGCAGATTGCGTACGGACCACTTTTTATTGATATCAAGATTTAAGCTAAAATTGCAAGGCCATAACAATATAGAATGAAGAAGGAAATAATTTAGTGTAAATCTAGAAGCGCTTAAGGATATAGAGACTCAGAGAAACTATGCTACTAAAGTTGGCAATCAGCTAAAAAAACTTGAAGGACAAGATATAAATTCAGAATGGACCCAGGCCATAACATTCATCAAGGAAGTAGCAGAACAAAGCATAGGAAGAATGGAAAAAAAAAAGGGAATAAATGATTTAATGAGGCCTGTCGCAAAGCAATCGAGAAACGGCGAGTAGCGAGAGATAATTATAATAAAGTAGGTGATCAAAGTACCAGGGGAACATATGTAAAGGAACGAAAAAACTGTAAGCGTGTGCTACAAAGAGAAAAGAGAAGCTTCCTGAATGGAATACTGCAAGAGGCAGAAAAGGATAGATCACAAGGTAGCATAAGACATTTCTTCAAAACCATCAAAAAGTACAGTACATTTAACCCAAGCCTAAAAGCTGTAAAGGATAGGGAAGGGACAATACTTATGGAGCCAGAAAAGAAAATAACTAGATGGAAAGAGTACTTTGCAGATTTATTGGATGGCACAATACCTCTGGACCCGATAGAGAACAAAATATTTCAGAAAGCGAAACAACTGGTAAAAGAAATATCCATGGAAGAAGTAAGAGCAGCGATAAGGAGCCTTAAAAACTGGAAGGCACCTGGTTCTGACAGCATACCATCAGAACTCATAAAATACGGTGGAGATGATATGTACAACTTTATTTACAGGATTTGTCTTAGGGTATGTCAGGAGGAAAAGATGCCAGAGAACTGGAACGAAGCAATAATTATACCAATCTATAAAAAGGGTGATAAAACCGAATGCAACAATTATAGGGGGATATCCCTGTTAAATTCAGTATATAAGATTTTTTCCAAAGTTCTATTGAATCGCCTAATACCCTATGCAGAAGAATGCTTAGATGAATACCAGAGTGGGTTTCGCAAAGGTAGGTCAACTATAGAACAATTATCGGTTATAGCACAAATTATAGAGAAGAAATATGAATATCGCCAGGAAATGTGGCAAATGTTTGTCGACTTTAGGAAAGCTTATGACAGCATACACAGAAATAGTCTGTATAATATAATGGAAGAATTTGGATTAAATTGGAAGCCGGAAGGAAGAAAGCCACGTGGTCGTCCCCGGAAAAGATGGATGGATGTCATGGAAAAAGATTTGGAAGACCTTGGAGCACAGAATTGGAGGGAAATAGTACAAGACCGAGATAAGTAGGATGATTTAGTGAGTGCGGCAAAAACTCTTGGAGAGTTATGAAGGCCAGAAGAAGAAGAAGAAGACTATGCTCTCAACATATTTTCGATACCTAGGTTATTTCGTTCTATACTACTTGGCTTTGAGGATATCTGGGTCCACCATGCACTATAAAACAATCAGACCACAGAATTTTGAGCTCTGTAATTATATTGTTGACAAATTCTCGACCGTTATTACTTTGTAAGATTTTTGGAGCCCCAAAAGTGAGGAATAATGAAAGTAAATTTCTTACTACTTCAATTGCTCTTTTTGATTTCAGAGGTGGTAAGGATAAAAACTTTGTACTGTGGTCTTGATAATTTAAATAACCATATTATTGGTTAGTATTGCATAAAAGTAACGTATTCCATATACATTTATATATATATTTTTGTATTTTTTACGCCTTTGTTGTGCTGGAAAAAATAAATTTGGATATTTTAATATCATTCTACAAAGTTGCAATTTACCCACTTGTTGGTACAAGTGATAGTGAAATTGCCAAAACACTGCAGCATTGAAAATCGAAAATTTGTTTTACATTCATATTATGTATACTTTGAAATATTTATAACGATTTATATTAAAAATTGGCTGTTTTTTTTTTAATTTTATAGAAATTTTTATTAAATCAATTAAGATTTTCAGATATTTCCATCGAGTTATTACGGTGGCCAGAGTATACAGATTGACATTAAATTTACTATTACTACTATACCTACTTAATCGTATTTAGTAGCAAGTAGAAAAAACTAAAAAGTGAAACAATTTTAGAAAATAACAAATGAACGAAACAGAACTTAATTAAAATGAATTGTACGTTTCACTGGCGTAAATATGATTCCTTCGTGTTATTATAATGAACAATGCTAATTATTGTTCATTATAACATTATACAGTAAACGATTAAATTACCCGAACTTCTTTACTAAATTATAGGAGAATGCGACTTAATATATTTTATTATAAATATCACGTTTGTCATTAGATATTTATACGTGTCATCGATAAGATTCCATGATTATTAAAACCTGTTTTTTTTTCCTTGCTTCCCCTCTTTGACTCACATCATTTGATTTCGGAATTGCCACACATTAAAATGTCTCTCGTTTATCGTAAAGCAAAAGTTGGATCACGTGTATACTAGGCGTAGTAACGTCTGGAAGCTTTCCTATTTAATCTCGGGAGCTTAGATATTTCACTATACTAGGGATGTCTCGAAACTCGTTTGGCTTAATGAAATATTCATTGCGCGTCCGCGTTAATAACTAGCCTCGGATTTAAATCTACCATGTCGGGTCGAAATAATACATAATGAACCAACGTCAAAATACTTCAATATCGACCTGTGGACAAACCTAAATTAATAAAAAGGGTGAAACTCCTAGGTAGGGTGGGATACAGGGACGGGTAAATTATTTTGGTGTTTTGGTATTTTCAACTTGAAACATATGCACCGTTGCTTTTGAAAAAAACAATTCTGAGTTAAAAAGTATGGGTAGATTAGGTATTATGTTTAAAGATACTGTTTAAGATACTTAATACATTAGTAAAACTAAAATTCTTAATAGTTTTGAACTTTTGTAAAAAAAAAAAAGACATTTAAAATATGAGGAAATCAAGAATTTCAAGTGCTAATAAACAGCTAGAATTTTATAAATATATTTTGAAATTATGAAATTCTAAAATTGTAATTTGAATTATTACATATTACACTTTACTCACTAATGTAGCGATTGCTTACTTAAATTACCTGTTTCATACAATTTTGTAATACTTTTAAAACTTGTTTGCGAATATTCAGTAAATATTATTTTGTTATGGTCACAAAACAACTTAAATCAAAAATCCTGTATCCAATTTTCATGCCTTAAGAATAAAAATTGAGAAAAGTTCTTGAATCGTTGACTACAAAAATATAACGGAATTTTGTGATTTTTATCGTTTCGTCAACATTTAGTATTTAAACGTTTGTAACTTTTTTTTTCATATTAATCGCAATTTTTTAATCTTTAAGAAGATATTAATATGGTCAAAGAATTTCGGATTGCATTTTTCAGAAATGTTGTCTAACCAAATGTATTTTAACGATATTTAAGAAAATTATAAAAAAAATATAAAACCATATATTAATGGTTTCGAATTTTGGTGGAAATTTTAATTTTTTTTTTGTATTTTTTTCTCAGTTTTCCTAAAACATTCCGAAAAATATTGAGAAATTCAAAAAATTAAAATTGTTATTTGGTTATAATCGAAGCAATATTTCTGGTCAAATTTCTGTACACAGAAACAAAAACACACCTCGGTAAGCCCAATTAATTCCTCGTTTCACTCAAATTCTTAAAATATAATCAATATAATAATTTTATTGTAATAATGATTGATATGAAATAAAAATATTATGTGAATTTATTACGTTAAATTTGAAAGATAACTTTTCTTCTTTAAAGCTTAAATTTCCTCATGATCAATTGGATTTTTTGTGATTATTTATTTTCATTGTAAGCTTTACGTTTATTTACGTGCATGCCTATTTGCCTTGTATCATATCACATGTTCTGAAATATTTTAACGTGCGGGCGAACTAATGAGTATAGAATCATATCGGCTAGAAAATTAGGCAAGAAAAAGAATTCGTAAACCGTATTAATAACCTACGTATGCATTTAATGATTAATCATTTAAATTTTTGATTCCAAGGAAAAACGAGGAAGTTATTCATTTCTGGTTATGTTTTTGTATTTTTTTTTTCTTTTTGTGTCAGCGTACTCAATTTCGATCATTAGGATTGATTCGATTTTAATGTTATATGAGTGAAAAAATGAGAAATTAAAACAAAACTATCAAAGTAAATTTTAGTATCTACCATAATGTCCACACCTACAATCACTAAATAAATTAATTCTCACCACAAAGCTTCGATTAAATGCACTGGAGGCAAAAAAATCACATCATGGAGGTCATAGTGGAAAATTAAAATGTATACAAGCAATAGAAAAACAAACAACAAAGCAATATTTTCGTCTCTACTTATTCCATCATTATCCTATATAAGCATATGTACATCTAAATCGGTTAAAATCTGATATATAATCTAATATAAGGTTATATAATATATAATATATATATATATAACATAATACATAGGTTAATACCTAACCTAATTATATATAAATACAAAATCAGGGTGCTTTTGTATTATGGTATTTATGGGCTCTGCTATGCTATAGAATACATCGGACCTCAACGAGCGTTTCTATCAATTAAATCGAGATTCATGAATGATGCTCCTTAATGTGTAACAGAACCGTAATGACCTGATTACAATCTGTTAATGAGTTAACCATAAACAATAAAATATACATAATCAAAATAGATAACTCGCTGTAGACCGTAATACTGTAATCGATCTAATTTCACATAGATACAGAACCAAGTCATAGAGTTAACAAACCTATAATTGCATAATATTATAAGTGTAGAATAATATACAATTGCAGTACTTTTATATATTGTTCTGAGGTATTGCAAAACTAAAAAATCTCTTTTAAATTATTTAATATCATTTAATATCATGATCGACCTGATGGAAATTCAAATATCTAGTGTCACAATTCGCATATCTAATAAAATTAAATTGATACGCGTATTTAATAGATTTTAAAAAATGCGTGCAAAACACCTTTAACTTTTTTCATATTACACATGAAAAATCATAATAGAGACTAGGAAATTATCTTTATGTTTTTTTTTTTTTTTTTTATAAAAATTGTATTTATTTATGCTTGAGAGAGGTCCCGAATCCAAAATTGGTCGGGGTAACCACGCTTTAACTGGTGCCGGATATAAAATATCAAGAACAAAAAAGTAGACTGTATAAAATTATAAAACCTTTATTATAATCAAAATGCGGCAACAACCAACGTATATAAAAATTACTAACAAATGTTACTTACGCAGCAACAACCAACGTATACAAAAAAAAAAAAAAACCAAACAGGACAGTAATAATATAATCGTAAAACGGATTAGAATAAACTGTGTCTACTTGGTGATGACAGCGTGAATTTATAGCCGATCGCCACCGGGTTAGAATACAGGTAGAAAGATAGGTCTTGCATAATAGATAATGCACTTATAGTTACAATATTCTATTAAAAATGTTTGGATATTTCAGGAAAAAACTTTGATTACACCTAAACTTTTTTTTCTTTAGATTTTGACCTTTAAAACTAATTAGAAAATCCAGATGCTCATGTTTTTCTGTTAAAAAAATCTTCTTTTTTGAAGAGAATTTTATTTATTTTCTTTTTGTCTTTTTCATTAGCATCTGAAAGTTTTCGACTGTGACTTTTAACTTTTTCTATCTTTTATTTTTTGTTGTAGAAACTATTTTTTCCTTTTATACATAATTTATCTTTTAAAATAATACAACAAAAACATGAAAAAATAATCCTGCCGTAATAAGTCTACGTCGTTATTAAAACAGATAATGAGTTTATTTATTCTCTACGTTTTCGAATCATAATATGAGTAACTATAGTAACTATAGTAACTACTATAGTAGTTACTTTTATTTATATATTTGGAACAAACAATAATTTGTAGTATTTGTTTTTTTATATTAGACCATTGAAGAGTTCTATTCTTTCTAGAGCTGCCATCATTTAATTATAAAGATTAATTGTTACAAATAAATTGTAAACAACACTTGTAATTGCAACATTGAAAAATAATAAGGACAGTAGTTACTTTAATTTATTCTATAAACTATAGATTTCAAACAGTTCTAGTAAGGGTAAGTCATATACTACAAAACAAACTTTTGAGTCGAATGTGATTTTTTTTGAATTATTAACTCATTAATATATATGAATAATAAAAAAAAAAGTAATAATAAAGCAGATGTATAATATATTTCAGCTCTAATCACTATTATTAGCAAAATCTACTGGCTTTTTCTTTTAATACTTGTGTTT